TATCTGTGACGCCGCGTGCCATGACCATGAGGCAAGTCGAAAACGCGTCTGCCGAATACGGTGACTTGCAAACGTGAGAGAAGCAATTCGCATGTGGAAAGTTTCGAAAACTGTGAGCTCAAGCAAACGGTGAGGGTGGAGCCACAGAATGACTCGATCATTTGAAACTGCAGCAAGCTGCAGGTCAGGACTGGAGTAAAGACTGCGCAAATGCGCAACTGAACACACCCCGCCACAAGGAAAACTCCTGCTGAGCTACTTTTCAACCGGAAAATCTGCGGCAAACTACCAGCATTCAACCCAGACGATCACACTGACTTGGAGGTTTGTGACCATGATGCTGAAAGCAAAGGAAAAGCCAAACTGTACGTGGATACACGCCGAAATGCAAAATACTCTGATGTGCAGATTGGCAACCAAGTCCTTGTGAGGCAGGAGAAGATCTACTCCCTTCATTCCCGACCCATTCACCGTTGTGAGTAAAACCGCAAAAGTGTGGTTGTTGCATCCCCGGAGCAAGGGCGGATCCAGAACACAATTTTTTGGGGGCCAAAAAAAATTTTGGTCCCCCCAAAAAGTGGGTCTAAAAAATTACGGCGTGGGGTTGGGGCCCGCGAGGGCCCCGAAAATTTTTTTGGATTCTAGATGCTCTGTGGTGCGATCCGGGCAATTTCTGACCACTTTAACCAATTTTTTTGATGAAAAGATGGTGGTGTACTCATTGCCTGCCTTTATTGCGATGTCACATTAAAAAAAAAAAAATTGGTTTCGTTTTTTTTGGGGGGGGCCATGGCCCCCTTTGGCCCCCCCCCCCCTGGATCCGCCCTTGCCCCGAGGAGGAGCCCAGTACTCCCGAAACACCAGCCATGTTCAGAAGTTCACGCAGAGTGCAAGTGACACAGGCATAAACACTGCCAGTGAACCTCCCATAGCGGACAGCGGTGGGAACACCATGGACCAGGCAATAAGTCCCCCAAAGACTGTAACTGATACCCCACCCGCTGTGACCCCACCAAAGGAGCTGCCCAGTCCATGTGCGGGCAGACCCAAGAGACAGTGTGGCATGCATCCTAAGTATAAGGTCTACATCACTCTACTTACCTGTAGAGCAAATACTACCTATGCATTGTTCCCTATGCCGGCAGGCAATTTGCTAAGAGTTTTACACACAATAGGGCCCTCAAGTGTCCTACCCTCGACGCCCTGTGACATGCGCACTACGTTAGCGTCCTCTTTTTCTCTTAGCCGCAGACGAGGTATATTGTGAAATTTCAATCGACCTGAATTACACTGTTTTATTTATGCCTCTTTGCTGTGAGAAAACTATTTATAAGAAATAAAGAGAAAGTGTTTATTGTAGAGTTATTATAGTGAGTTATTCTAAGTGAAGTGAAGTAAGAAATGAGTAAATCTAGGAAGTTGGGGAGGACTGGGTGTGTCGATAATGGAGGGACGTACATCCCACCAGACAAGCCCGAGTTCTCGGGGGGACTGCACTGGTGATGGTACGTCACCGTGGCAGCAGTCCTCTAGTCAGCCCCTTCAGCCACTGCCGGGCTGTCGGAGCTGACGGACCCCTTGACCAAGCGGGGGGCCGTACAACCCCACCGTCTTCGGTCAATATTCACGGGTCCGCCCAGCTGAAGGGGAAAATGCACCGGCAAGACAAGGAAATTGTCTGAAGCCAGGGCAGTACCCAAAAAGGGACGTGTGGCAAAAGGTGGCCCCGCTACGGGGCGCACTGTGCCCGTCCTGGCCCGTCTACGGGCCACACACAGCCAGAGGAAGTACTCCTCCATGGCTCAGTGCACCCAGGCCCACCCAGCCCCGTGATTACCATTATGTCTGGGGATGGGCTTTTATACGGCCGGCTTGACCGTGCAGCACCCGCCTATTGTTACCAGGGCGGGGGCACTGTCGGCCGCCCGGGCTATTGATCCCATAGGGGTATTGATCGCATAGCCGACTCCCTGGGATTCCCCCGGGGCGTTAACGCCAAGGGCGTTAACGCTACGCTCTGAGGGCCATGCCTCTACATCGGATTTATCCGTTGTTCGGGCATCCCCGTGTCCCCGCAATCCTCGGAAACTACTTGGAGCCGATCTTCAAAAAAGAAAAAAGCGAAAAGAACTGTCGTCCTCGCCGTTCTTCGACGAGTTCTAGCGGGTCATCCGGTCGATCACACCGTGGGAAACGCCACAAGGGCGGCGACCCAATTTCGCGCAATGATTTTTTGGAGGCTTTTCACTCCCTCGCGGCCTCATTGTCGGGCTGACAGGGGGACTTGGGATTCGGCCCAGTTGACTCACACACTGGCCACTACGGTCACAGCTGGATGACTCCGGGCCAAAGGGACATACCACACATGGTTAGCTGTGTGCCGGAGTCCCCTCCAGAATTACAGCCCCCACCCGCCCGTCATCACGGCCGTGGTGGGGTGACTACAGACCAGCGGACAATGCCGCGTACGGAGAGCCGTGCACCGGCATCCCCGCACGGTATTAGTTTACACCCATCGGCATCATTAGAGTCCAAGCGGGGCTCGATACTGGGACACCATGACGGCGCTGCTTCACCCCCGAGGCCTGGTTCCCATTCCCCAGTGACAACTCGCCCCCCGTACTCTGACAACTCGGCGGACGAGAGCGAACTGACCTGCACCATGCAACGCCTATTGGTGGCTGAGACCGAACTCCGCTTGGTTCAACGGGATATGATCAGGGTCCTGAATCTCCCTGCTGGTACCGATCCTCCTCCTCCTGAGCGTCAGTCGTTCAAGAAGAGATCAGGACCGACGGCAGAACCGGTCCGGGCTTCTCCCACAATGCCGCTGGACCGTGTGTGCGTTTACCACATAGACGGAATAATGCACGCAAAGACATGGAGTGCCTACGCTAAGCGCGTGGACTCTTATTATCATTTTCCCCCAGGGATTTTGAGAAATATTTCTCAGGAGTTCTTGGGTCCTGGGTGCAGGTGACTTCCAACCGGTGGGTCCTCGAACCGATCAGCAGCGGTTTACGAGGACCCCCTGTCGGACATGCTTATTCGGACAACGCCCGTACCGCCTGACACAGCAAAACGCCGCTCCCTCGAGGAGGAGATCGACACCCTCCTTCTAAAGAGAGCAGTTCGTGTTGTCCCCCAAGGGGGGACCCGGGCGGGTTTCATGTCAACCTTCTTCTTGGACCCCATGAAGGAGGCCGGCGTGTGGCATCCAATACTGAACTTAAAACCCCTCAACAGGTTCAAACGTTACGGACCATTCTCGAATCAATCATAACGCCAGCGTGGGCGGCCAGTATAGACCTGAAGGACGCGTACTTTCACGTACCGATAATGCCGGAGCACCGCAAATTCCTACGTTTCCAATACAAAAAATACTGTACGAATTTGTGGTGCTCCCGTTCGGGCTGTCCACTTCTCCGCGGGTGTTCACCCGGATCGTGAAGATGATCGGGGCGGCACTGCGGCGACGAGGGATCATGATATTCATGTACCTCGACGATTGGCTTAGTAGTGGGTCGTTCTCGGGGGGAGACGGAAGCGGCGCTCCAACTAATGTGGCACCTTGCTTCCGACCTTGGATTTCTCATCAACACCAAGAAATACCATCCAGTCCCCTCGCAGGTTCCCACCTTTCTAGGTGCATCCCTCGATCTTTGCAGGGGACTGGCCCGCCCATCGGAGGACCGCCTGCTGAACCTTCGGCAGTGTGTGTCCCTCTTCCTCCTGACGGAAGTGGCTCCAGCCCGAGCCTGGCTCAGGCTTTTGGGCCTTATGGCCTGTTTGGTGGACTTAGTAGATTTTTGCAGGTTGAGATGAGGCCAATTCAACTTCACCTGCTTTCTTTCTACAAACCCCGTTGGCACCCGATCAACCATCTGGTGCCCACTACGTCTTGGCTAGTCCCCCACCTTTGTTGGTGGCTAGTCGAGGCCTACATAACGCAGGGCCGCGTTTTCCGCCCGCCCCCCGCCCGTCGGTACTTATCACGACCACACGTCAGGGTACGGCAGGGGGACTACCCTCCACCCGCGTGTTGTAAATTCCAAACCTGCACTACTAGTTGTAGCTTGACTTGTGCATGTATGCAAATCCATAATCCATGAAGGTCAGACAGATGCATGTTGTTGATCATATGAGGGTTTTTTAAATTCGCCTAAAGTTTAATATTTCTGCTTGGATTTAAAGTTAAAGATGTTTGTTAGTTGCTGTGATTATTGGGCAGTGGAAATTGTAATAGTTAATCGTTTGCATGTCACCCATTATTCAAGAAAACCAAAGTTTCTTTTTGAAGGGGAGGGATGTCGTGTCTGCATGTGACAGATAGCCAGCCTATTAGAGTATGTCAAAGGTCAACTCGTGTAAGAGTTTCTGTGCGCGGAGCCATGTTGAATAAACGTGTGTCATGAAGTTGTAAGCCAAACCGAGCTGGAGCTGTTGTGGTGCTATCTGCGTCCAAGTTGTTTAAATACGAATCCCCTCCAAGAATATAACAAGACGGAAATTGATGTGACGTCATCATGACATCACTTGACATGTGACGTCATAATTCAAAGCCCTATGAGAATGTCATCACATATTTATATTCCACCATTTATTATAAACAGAACTACACATCTTTTCTGGATGGAACTTAAACTTGAAACTTTACATGTCACATAATATGTCACAAAAAAGTTTCCGAAATAGCCCTGTGTTTGTCCATAAACATAAGTCTAGTTAATAATTATTATGGTAGCAAGTGACTTACAACCTAATGATGTAACAGTCTGAAAAAAATTCCATCAATGCACAGTATAGGAAACTTTAACATGAACAGTATGTAAAGTTTTGCAATTTCCTTTTTTGTAACGTCAGTTACCGATAAAAAATTTAGTGTCAAACCGGCAGAAATGTATTTTGTTGGACATTTTTCTCGTAGTTTAGACACTTGATTTCAATGTTGGCAATTTATATTGAGCATTGGTTGTTTCAGGTTCAGGAACTCGTAAGCTTTTGAGGTCAACTGACTATGGAAAGACTTTCCTTGGTGAGTATGTATCTGAAACTTCGTAACTCAGTTGAAACTCTGATTTATAGTATATGTAACCAGGTCAGGTTTCAGTACTTACTTTTACCCGACAGGTTCCTTACTCCAGCATTCATTTCATAACTTTTGTAACTTCGTGGTTGTGTCATTTCACATGTGAGCAGCCATTGCGATCATGCTTTTTGGCCTAGCGCCCTCTTGCGGCCAACTAAACTTTTTTTTGCACAGCTCGCGCCACCTAGACTTTTGCCCGCTACGTTTTCAACTATGCAATGGGCGTAGCGAGCAGGCGAGTTTTGCGAGGACTAGCTGGCATTCCGTGCGTTTCGGTACAGTTTTCTTATAGGGCTAGCTGCGAGATAACTTTGATTTCGATCCAACACCTCGTTGCATTCAGATCATCATTTTGCGAGCACTTACACTCTCCACTTATAAACAGTGGTGTAGCAACGGGAATTAAGGGGTAGGGACGGAAGAGGGGGTTAGCAACACGTAATGATCAATGCACTGAATGTGCTCTCTGCACACAGCCTGCTTGTGCGTGGTGTACTGTATGGGGACAAGGTTGAAACCATCAACATGACTGTCTGGCATATGGGTGGAATTTGGGGCATTTTTTGTTGTTGAACCTCTATGAACAATTTCTCACTACGCTAGGTTATACTAAGGGAATAAATGTGTGCTCCGGAGGTTTTTATCACTCTGTTTAATACCACTTAGAGTCTGGGTGCTGATAATTACCCGAGCCGGAGGCGAGGGTAATTATCAGCACCCAGACTCTAAGTGGTATTAAACAGAGTGATAAATACCGACGGAGTACATATTTATTCCCATTCATAAATACCTTTTCGGTTAAAAAAAAATCATATAATTCGTTCAAAACATCCCGATTTTGTTCAACAAATTCACTTTATGCTTTTTGAAACATCCCTCCTGCAAAATAATGGAGTGTTCAGCTGGCGAGTAAGATGAAAACAACCCTTTTATGGAGATTGACGCGCGCGTATCATGTTCTACGCGATGTCGCGCAGAACGCACCTGGCGCGTTGCGTTTTGAATTTAGAACTTTAAAATTCTGACTCCCTAGTAGTGTTGCGCATGCCTACGTGAGGATTGTGAACGTTCAACCAATGAAACGATAAGAGGCACTGGATTTTTAGGAGTCCACATTTTATTGTGACACTGGAAAAGTGTTTAAGACCAGCTAGCCATGTCTTTATCATCCGTTTAATACCGGCCACGTGACGGGCTCTCGACCAATAGGAATGGCTAAACTGTCTGAGGTATTTATGAATAACTTTTAATATGACTTGTGTGCATATATCAGGCATGTGGTGTGTGTATGGGATAAACACTCATGTTTACATAAACACCACCAAAAAGGCCTGAAAAGGAAAGAAATCAGATTTTTTTTATAAAATGAAAGTTGAATATGAACTATTGCCACTGTTTGAAAGGTATTTAACATTTAATATTCCTTTATTTGGATTGTATATTTTTATAGCAATAAAAATGAATGTGTACAGCTTTGGAGTGCAGGGAAAGTTTGTGTTTGCAGCAGTGGATGGTGGAAAGGTAAGGATAATTATCTACTTTACCCCTGTTGTGGAAAAGACTATTTACATTTATTAGATATAAAGTAAAAAGTACTACAAAATGAATTGTACAGAATGTTGAAAAAAACAACAACCATGTTTTACACTTTAAGTCTTGTATGGAAGAAAACTTTACATGTCTTTCTTGTTTTTGGAATTTAGCAAGCTGGCACTAATGCGCTGGAGCTACCATGCCGTTAATTAAGAAATAAAAGGCTCTAAATAATCTATTACACAATGAACAGACACTCCTACACTCGGTGACAATCTGTCACTAGTAACCCTATGTATCAAAACCCATCAGGGTTTTGATACATAGGGTTACTAGTGACAGATTGAACATGTCTGTAAGCTGGAATCATATCGGTACAATTGACGCGTTAAAATGGCTGCTATACAACCTGTACCAGTATTAATGGTTAACCGATCTATCAAGCCACTTAAATGGGCTTTGGCAGTTATAGTAGGCATGTCATTTACGCAGGCACAATTTTCAGACGATTCGGTGAACAGCGCACACACGCATGTGCACACAGTCGTTTTTTGCTATGCTTCCGAGGATTGGCTTTGTGTTTTCCTTTGTTCCCTGATCTTAACCTTTCCCATAGACTAAGCGCACAAACCTGCATTTGAGGACAATAGGCACCGTCGTTCGAGGATGAAAGGCCCCTTTGTGCTCCTTTTGTTGTCTGTCCTCGAGCGTAATACAATACAGGAACACCCACACACACACACGGTTGCATGGTTCAGCCGGAAAAAAAGTGTGACTTTCTGCTGTAATTTTGCAAAGGTGAAAGATAAATATTAAAACATATTGCCATATTTGAATCCTTGTAGTTTGTCCTTCATTCTCAATGTTTATTTTTTGAAATCGAAGAAAAAATGGTTGAGTCGCACCGTCGAGCCCATTGAAAAGCATTGGAGCAGAACGTTTCCCCCTTATAGCTGTTTTATTTGGACGATTCTGTGACGTTTCCAGCGACCTATGACCCCAGAAACCCTATATTTAGATCAGGGAAACCCCAAAGATCAACGCTCCATCTTCGAAATTTTCCAAAATGGCGACGCGTAGCGGAGGATGCCGAAGAGGTAAACCGTGTCATTTTTCTCTTTACATACGATAAATATGAATACATCGTGGTCAGAATGCAAAATATACACTTTCAGCTTCACTTTCATATGTAGAATGTTATATTTTGACTGTTGTTATAACTTTAATGAAATAAAAAACCTCCATGTTGCCAAGTTGATGAAGATAGTGATGGTGATAAAGATGACAAAAGCAATTTGGAGTTCTACCCAGAATACATATTAGAAGAAGCATTTCATCTTATGGTGACTGCATGGAGTACCTGACAGACCTGTTGCATGCAGAAAACTCCAACATGAACAAACAAACAAAAGTCTTGACAAAGTGGAAAAGGCTTTAGGGCAGGCCAACCAAATCAACAAGGAGTTGAAAAAGCAATTTGGCAGCTTGCAAAAGAAGAACGTTGTAAAGGAACTTGAAGAAACAACCAAAGAAAATCAGAAACTCAACAAAAGAATGCAGCTGCTGGAAAAGAGAATTAAGTCTCTGCACAAAGACAAGAAAAGAAATAGGGACTCCAGAAATCACTTCAAAAAAGTGCAGAGTCAAGCAAATTTGTTCAAAAGGAACTGAATTCACTGGGGAAAAAACAGGGTAAACAATTACAGCTTGAGAATGATGATTTAAAGTGTCAACTTAATCACATAATGGGAAACAAAGATATTGTAAGTTTTGAAGATGGCATATACCAGTGATGTAGTGCCTTGATGCTGGGCCTTGGCCTTAAGGCTGCCTTAAGGCTGGATTTTAGGGCCTTGGCCTCGAGGCTTGAGGGCAAAAGCCTTGGCCTTGGCCTTGGCCTTGAGGGTTCAGGGCCTTGCAATTTTGAGTCAAGGCTCTTCAAGGCCCATAGATTTTTGCATTTTCTAGATAAATCTGTTCGAAATTGTGCTGTTACCATTTTAATCGTATTACCATGGAGGAGGGAAGCACCCTATAGATTTGTGTGTTGGGCACACTTCCACTTTTGTAGCATCACATTTTGTTACCATTGTAGTAGATTTCCGTACACTTGTGGGGCTAATGAGATGATCACTTTAATTGCATATAACTATGGAATAGATCTGATTGGTTGTATATGTCTCCCTGATAAGTGCTAAAGATTTGCATGTATCTGTTTTAGATAATGCTGATATTTCTGACCATGTTGGGCCAGCAAATACAAATTTCCCAAATCAGTTTCTTGGATCCCCCTTTTGTTACACTTGGGAGAATTGTGTGTCAATATAGAAGTAAATCATATTTTGTTTAGTTAAACCATATGAAGACCTGATACTTTACATTTAACTTAGCGTACCTGATCATAGATCGGGTAGTGGCGTAGTGTTGGGGATGAAAATGTGGGGAGTTAAATGTAAATGGGGGATATAGTTGGGGACATGCAGTTAAAGAATAGCAATTTCTGTGGTGTGATCTGAGGCAATTTCTGATCACTAAAACCAATTTGAGCAAAAGATCATTCGTGAAAGTTTTGAGTTTTGAGTAATTGAAGCAGCTACATGTATTCTGAGCAATAGAATCATTATTGTAGGCTACAATATTTTTATTCGGGGAAGAAAAGTGTGGGGGGGGGGAGACCAAACAATGTCCCCCTCAAAATGTGTGTGTGTGTGTGTGGGGGGGGGGGGTTCCCCCTGTTCCCCGTGGATTTACGCACATGATAATAATTATGTACCATGGCAACTGTCTGTAAATGTTGCCGTTGTGTCTGTTACCCAAAAAAAAAAAGTCTCCGGTTTCTGGTATGGAGCTTCCTTGCGGCGACGCGGCTTTTTTTTTTTTTTTACCTAATTTTTTTGCTTCAAATGTGTGCTGATGACTGCAAATGGTGCCCGACTAAACTTAGTGCAAATATATGGGAGTCCAGAGAGGCCACAGAAAGCTTATTCTCGACCATAACCCAATCTAAAAACACGTTAAAATTGTGCAGCAGCAGTATTCCAGTCAAACCAGTGAGTTTGGCGGTTTTGGGACATCATCTTTCACTAAAAAAACACTTTTTCATTTTGCCGACGCGCATGGCTACGGCGACGCGCGCGCATACCAGAAACCGGAGACTTTTTTTTTTGGGCCTTAAATTGGCTTTTTGTGAGGCAGTCGCATTTGGAAAACGTAGTGAAAAGGTTACTGTAGTACACAGGCGAAGGCTGGTTGTACAATTTGACAATAAATCATAATGCAATAAAACTCGAAGGTGTCATTTAAAATGAAAATGTTGAGTGTTACCAAAAAATTACAAACGGTCTGAATCATGGAGGAAGGTCATAATTAAGTTTCAGTATTGGACTCTTCAACAAACGTAAACTTGAACTTCTTACAATTTGTGAGACCGTCTGCGATTCAACTTTTATTCAAGTTGGTTCAACCATCTATATATAAGAGCAAGTTTTACTCGGCCTCCGAGAAATGTTTGCTTCTGAAAGGATCCGAGACCGCGGCTTCACGTCCGTGGAAAAATGTGGGTGTCGTCCGCCGGGTCGGACACTTTTTCATCGATTTTTTGTGACTTCGTTTAAGATTGCGATATTCGAAGCAATGCATCGATCCTTCGTTGACCCCAAACAGGCCCCCGAAATTATAACGCGACACTGAATTATACGTGGCGGGCAGCGAACTCACAACACTCAGCCTTGGTGGTGGAAGCATGGAGCTGTAAACACATTATGGAAGCAACAGCACTCTATCACGCGACGCTTCAAATAGCAAGCACCGTAGACCCAACCTCGTTTCCAGGGTGTGGAGCAGGCTGCAGTACGCGTTGCCATCGACAGTTTTGCATAGCCCGGAAATACTACGCAGTGTAGACTTTCGATTGGTCAGACCGCGCAAGGCATACCTAATGTGTAGTCCTTCTGAGTATTCGTTGCACTCGGCGCAGGGGCGGCAAGCGAAGCACATGAAAGAATAGGGACACTTGGTGGCCACGCACCATGGAGAAAAAATATTTTACCAAGGTCACCCCATGCCACCATTTGGTGAACGCTTTTGCAGAACGGCCGAGTAGAACACGTAAACGGAACCCCTAATTCGAAGCCGCTGACCTCGCACAGTCTAGACACGCAGAAAAGCCAGCACAGGGGGCGGCCAGGCAGTCAACGTGAAAGCGCACACGACGGCAAATTCCTGCGCAAAACGCAGTCACGAAAAATTGACGAAACGGATCGCCGGTCCGTACGGGAAAATCGGGACGACCCGAAGTGTCCGATCCGGCGGAAGACACCCTCCGCATTTTTCCACGGACGTGGAGCGATTCTGGCTCCGCGGGAGCCCGCGGTCTGGGATCCTTTCATGAGCAAACATCGTCTGGGAGGCCGAGTTAAACTCTCTCTTATATATATAGATAGATACAGTGCAGTCATAAAACGGTGTAGGCCTATGCGAGCATGTTGATTGCAATTAAAGAAATGCTGTTCTTCGTAACGAGCAATTCGTGATGATAAGGGCGGATCCAGGGGGCCAAAAGGGGCCATGCCCCCCCCCCCAAAAGAAACCTATTTTTTTATGTGACGTCGTAATAAATGCAGGCAATGAGTACACCACCATCTTTTCCTCAAAAACATCGGTTAAAATGGTCAGAAATTGCCTCAAATCGCACCACAGAGCATCTCGAATCCAAACTTTTTTCGGGGCCCTTAAGCGGGCCCCGAAGCCCAAGCCGTAATTTTTTGACCAATTTTTTTGGGGGGGGACCAACGTTTCTTTGCCCCCCCCAATTGTGCTCTGGATCTGCCCTTGCGTGATGATGTGTCACTCATGTGACTATAATTAGTTCTATATCAGTGGTCATTTCATAAAACAGGGCCTTGGCCTTGGCCTTGAGGGTTAAGCCTTGGCCTTGGCCTCGAGGCTTGAGGGTCAAAGCCTTGGCCTTGGCCTTGAGGGTCAAAGCC